GAAAACTGGGAGAATGGCCTTCTCTCTTTATCTCAAATTCAAATAGGCCACAAGCCTTGGTCCAGATGATCCTGTGCTGAAAATTCTTCTGTAAGGTATTCCTGGGTGCACCGAAGGTCGCTTAGCAGTATGAGAACTGATTGAGATCAGAATGAGCTTGTGGCTCGCAGTTAAACCTAGATCTTCGGTACCATACTCAGAAACTCCCACAGAGCATGTCTTCCCGGCTCAGCAGTCAAGCACCGCCCCTTTAAAAAAAATTTATACTAACTTTCCATTTTAGGAAATATAACAGGAAACAGAAGATAAGGATACAGATAACAACATGTTGTGAAAAAAAATCTGTTTTGGTAAATAAACAGAATGAAATGGTGAACATTAACCAGCAAAATATATTTTAGGGAACAATGAGAAAGAAGATGAAAGCCCAATAGCAGTCCCGTATTTTTTTTTTTTTTTTTTTTACTTCCAATCTGACCTCTTTTGTTATGCTGCTGTTTTGTTGGTGTGTTTCCATTCCCAATATCACACATTTATATCCAAGAATTGAGGGCTTCTCTCAAAGTATAATAAATGTATTTTTTTCAAAAATAGGAACAATGTCATGCTTTCTGAATTCCATGTTTTTAGTGCTCTAGATGAACTATACAAGTCAAACTATACCAAAATGTTATGTAAAAGAAATACATCTTCCAATTTTTTTTACAGCTCTTTGTACATCTTTATTTCTCAGGCTATAAATCAGAGGGTTTAACATGGGGGTGACTATGGTATAAAATACTGAAACCAGTTTACCTGTTGCATTTGTTACCGCATGCCTCGGTCGCATGTATGTGAACATTGCAGTTCCATAAAAAAGGACCACGACAATCAAATGTGAGAAACACGTGGAGAATGATTTTGAGCCTCCAGAACGTATTCTCACAATACAAGCAATAATACGAATGTAAGAAAACAAAACAAGTACTACTGGAGTCAGAAGAAGAATAGCATCACCAAAATATATTACAATAGTAAGCACAGGGTAATCATGACAGACTAGCTCTATTAAGGATGCACTCTCACAGAAAAAGTGATCTATGATGTTAGGATCACAGTATTTCAACCAGTAGAGGAATAAAGCATCAACAAAAGATATAACATAACCAGTGATCCATGCAGCAGCTATCATCCAAATACAGAACGGAATGTTCATAACTAGGTTATATCGTAGGGGGTTACAGATCGCAACATAACGATCGTATGCCATAAAAGCCAAAAGGATACATTCGCTTTCTGCCAGAAAAAGATAGAAAAAAATTTGCACTGTGCAAACCTTGAGTGAAATAAGTTTATTCATGGTGAGAAAATCCCTAAGCATTCTGGGAATGATGATTGAGGTATAACAAATATCCATAAAAGAGAGATTAGCAAGAAATAAATACATTGAACTGTGTAGACGTTTGTCAGCTTTCACGGCTGTAATGAGAAGAATGTTACCGGCCAGTGTGGCCATGTAGATAATCAGAAAGACTATGAATAATAAGACTTGTACATTGGGGTCTGTAGAGAGTCCAAGCAAGATGAATTCAGTCACAATGCTGGTGTTCCCACTTTCCTTAAATAATTTATGTGAGGCCATCTTGCTCTGTAGAAAGCCATGAGGAACATTATAAATATGTGAAATTAATTAATACCAAAATAGATAATCAGGATTATTTCACTGATCGCAGTCAATTTTAATTATCAAACAAATTATATTATTATTATAATTAAAATACTAGTATTAGACTAATGGATTTACTTTGGACTGAACTGCAGTTAGCCGAATTTGGGCTAAAAAATAAAGGTGAAAAACATGTAGTTTACCAAACTAAGGGTTGGAAATAGAAGAGACATTCTATTAAAAACTATATATTTTCTTAGCACAGATACTAAGTCAGTGAGATATGTAAACAATTATACAGAGTCTAAACACATTTTATCTCAATTATATATATAATTCTGTAACGATATGGAAAATAATTAAGAGCCTGTTTTTTTATGTAAAAATACATGTTCAAGAAGGTAATAAACTTAAAAAAAAAAAATATATATATTATCAACCTCCCTCATTAACAACAAAAACAACAAAAATATTGTCCCAAAAACAACACTAATGAAAGTGAAATAGTATACTTAAAGGGACACTGTAGGCACCTAGACCACTTCAGCTCATTGAAGTGGTCTGGGTGCAATGTCCCATGTTCCTTAACCCTAAAGTGGTAATTATTGTAGTTTCTTAGAAACTGCAATAATTATCGCTGAGGGTTAACTCCTCCTCCTCTAGTGGCTGTCTACCAGGACTCTCTGAATCAAAACAAACCTTTGGTCCGTTATCTGACACTGGATATCTTTACGCTGCATGAGGACGTCCAGATTTATCCTTATAGGAAAGCATTAAATAATGTTTTACTATGGGGAAATCCTAATGTGAGCATGCTCATTGCCACGCATGCGCATTAGGTCTTCTCCGACGGCGAGGGAAGAGGGTGGTAGGAGCCTGACCTGGCGCCAAGGGACATCGGCGCTGGATTAAGGTGAGTGACAGAGGGGGGCACTATAGAATACCTTTAATAATCAAATGGCTTCTCGTTGGATCTCCCAAGTAGTAACGCAAAACCACAAAACAAAATTTACAAACAATTGGAGTAAACCACAAAGCTATAAATGGTAAAATATAGAATAGAGTAATATTGTTAAGGAAATAGGGATATGGTGCATTAATATTTCCACTCACAAGCCAAACCGTGCAATGGTTGTTGAATATAAGTTCAAAGTACACAGGATGAAATAAAATCCTTCTTGTGGTGGATGCATGTATTTACTTTCATGTAGTTGCTTTCTGTAAGTTAGTTGCCCTTTTATTACACTTGTAACATTAGATTTAGAAATGCCTCATTGGCTGTCAGACAGTAAAGAATGTTCCCTTCCTCTCTCTGTTAGCTCCCGTGAACTAATGGAAGAGGCAGGTGCGCTCTACATGAGCATGCCAGCCTTCTCCCACATTTCTGCTCACAGACCAGCACCTGTCAGCTCCTTACTAGACACAAGGATAGGTCCACATGCACACAGAGGGCACAGATGGTACTGATACAGAAGCTTTTTCAATTAGAAGACTCTGATTGATTATTTGTCCATGACAAAAGACTCTTCCTGGGGAAAAGTAAAAGGCTTGCAAAGGCTACAGTCATAAGAACTAAGGCTTTGACAAGCTCTTTTTAGATATATCCCCCAATGACGACATGTATAAATAAATATGTGCATGTATTCATTAGGTATATATCCACTATATGGGATTTATAAAATTTCTACTGTGCAGTGTTCCTTTAAATGTAAACATCACTTTGACATCACTTTAGAGAAAAACTGTGTTAGTTTGTATTTTCTTTTTCATCTGTGTGAAACGATTCATAATGTGTATATCACATTCTCCAACACTTTCTGACAGGTGCGGAGATCCAGTCACTGCTCACTACCGTATCATTTATACAGAGTAAGAATATTCTGTTTCACTTTAAAGTTATGCAGGAGAGAAGCAACTTTGTAAATATGTAATGAAGGGGTAGGATGGGGTAGCAAGAAGAGAAATTAAGGGGAGGGGAGAAAGGGGGAAGTATCGGAAGAGAATTATTAGAGGTAAGAGAAGGGGAAAGATAGGAGAAGGAAGGGGAAAATGGGGAAAGGAAAGAAAGTTAAAAAAGGAGAGAAAAACAAAACAGAGTAACTTTATAGGGGAAGTTTATATTATGGTTCACTCACTGCCTCAAGGTAACAAATGGTATTACCTGAGTTTCCAAACAGTGAGAATCTGGGACCCAAAATTAAAGGGTCAGAGGTGATACTCACAAATGCTACTAGAGAACAAATGTATCTAATTATATTTTTTGTGTGTAATTTTCGGTTTAAATTTATTATGTTTATTTTTTGCATTTTTTTTCTTTGCGTCCTGTTATGAACTAACAACCTACTGTAATAACAGTAACATTGGCCTAAGAGCATTGTTAAGATATCATTTTAAGGAGGTAATAATACATGCTTTTCATTGTTAATACCATATAGAACTCAGAAAAGCTATTATTTAATTAATGACTGTAAACATATTTTCTGTTGGGTTTGGAGCTTTATACTATAAACAACATGGTAACGGCACCCCCAGGCATAAAAAGGGTTAAACCGCCGTTTAGAAGATCTTTCCCTTCCAGAGACACAGGTACAGCTACTGTAGACACCAATACACCGAACCGGAGAAGCATATGAATGCTCTCAAACATACGAATGCTGTAGACAGCTGAATAGGAAAAACCATGCTAACAGGTTTACACTCCTAGCAGTGAAACTGGAACAGCATACAATAAATCCCCCCCAAGAACGAGACAAGGCTCCGTTTTGTGGGTCAAGCAGGAACAGACAGAGCTGTGTGTTTATTGTTCTTATATACACATTCTTAAACATTAGTACCACCCACAGGGTTTTGGAAAACAACCAATAAACACGTACAATACACTCAGACACTCCCACACATACATTTTCTTACATTTTCAGAATCAGCATACTCCAAATACGAACATATGTCAAAATCATCCACATTGGTCCAGTGGTTCAAAAGATAGATCGAAGTCCTTTGTGACCAAAGGAAGCATGGCTTTTCTGCCCAAAACCAGTTCCACAGAGTCTTCTATCCTGGAGATAATTGGGAAGTAAATTTTACTGTCTTTTTACTGCCATTTGCTTAATGGAGTTTTGCCTTTGTCATAGTTACATAGTTACATCGTTACATAGCTGAAAAGAGACTTGCGTCCATCAAGTTCAGCCTTCCTCACATTTGTTTTTTGCTGTTGATTCAAAAGAAGGCAAAAAAACCCAGTTTGAAGCACAATTTTGCAACAAGCTAGGAAAAAAATTCCTTCTTGACCGCAGAATGGCAGTCAGATTTATCCTTGGATCAAGCAGTTATTACCCTACATTGAAAGATTATATCCTTGAATATTCTGTTCTTGCAAGTATGCATCTAGTAGCAGAGTCCATACAGATGTTCAAACGGCTACTAGATGCATACTTGCAAGAACAGAATATTCAAGGATATAATCAAATGGCAGTAAAAAGACAGTAAAATACAATAAAATACACAAGGTTACATTTATTACATAAAATACAGACATGCAACATATGCCCAGATAGCTTAGGTCTGAGCGCACATTAATACTGAATGGCGCTCAGACCACACACACATACAGTTCAATTGCCATGGAGCCAAAGTCTTTTATTACACTAATAGGCTCCAAGGCATAGCTATCTGGGTTATGAGTTTATTCAGTAAATCCAAGAATCTACCGAACGCCAGGGCAGAAAACATGAATAGACCTTTCTGCATAGGAAAATAAAGTATTTAAATGCCGGTACACAGTCAAAAGGCAGCAGGCAGGCAACCAGGCTCCTCCAATGCACAGTGGCGAGATAAGTGTCGTCACAAACATTTAAATAGTTTGAAAGTTAATCTGTTATTACTCTTGAATTCATGTATGTCTTCGGGAACAATCCCAAAGGAAATGCTAGAAGCACACATTGTTGCACTGCCAAAACCGAGGGAAAAACCTATGCAGTTCAGCAATTTGTGCCCGATCTCACTTCTTAACTCAGGTTACAAAATCTATGCAAAAATAAAGGCAGCCAGAATCTCTCCTCTTTTGCCTTACATTATAAAAAAGGATCAAGTTGGCTTCATAGAAGGTGGACAAGGCTAAGATGCAACTATATAAATAATACATTTGATAGCTGAGGCAGAAAGAAGTAAGCTTGAATGCCTTCTCATGTCACTCAATGCAGAGAAGGCATTCGACCACTTACACTGGATATTTTTGTTTCAAACTTTAATGAAATTACGGTTTCCCAACAAGACTTATAAAAGCTATAAAAGCATTATATTAAAACCCTATGGCTTCTGTACTTCTATCAGGATCTAGGTCTAATTAATTTGGGATAAGTAATGGATGTAGACAGGGCTGCCCCTTATCTCCCATTTTATACACTCTGGCTTTGGAGCCTTTGGCATTGCAATTCAAACAGAAATTAATATAAGTGGGATCTGCATTCCAAATATGTCTCAACAAAAAATAATACTTTTCCCAGATGGTATACTAACAGTATTAACTAACCCTATCTAATCTATAAAATATTTACAAAAATGTTTATGCAATACGGAAAGGTTTCTTACCATAGGGTTAACAATCAAAAAAGGCAAGTTCTCTCAGTGAATATTAATGAACATCAAATATCTGTACAAAATGGATTGGAGATCAACTTACATTCAATATTTAGGTATTGTTTATATGTGGACCTGTCTCTTATGTCAGCTTTAAATTTTAAATCTGTTTGGGAGAAATCAAAAGAAGAGCTTGCAAGATGGAGGAAGTTTAATATATCATGGATTGGCCCTATTGCTTCAGTCAAGATGATGATATTGCCAAGGTTTTTGTATTTATTTTGAATGATCCCCCTTCCTTTCCCTACTCTAATATTAAAAGATTTACAGAAATGTATAATACAATTTATACACGCAAACAAAAAACCAAGCGTACCCATAGCAACACTTTATAAAACTAAAAAGAAAGGTGGATTAGGAGTTACCTTATTTGATATATTACTCCACTGCATCCTCTCTAGCTCAATCTTTACTATTTTGCTCAGAAAAAGGGTCAATAGCATGGGTAGATATAGAAGACTCATACTTGAACAAAGGCAGAGAGTCTCAACTGCTCTGGTCCCCAAACAAACTACGTTTGTCAAAAAATATATGTGACGGACCCTCCGTAAATCGATGCTCCTAGTGCTCACCAAGGGCCATCAGCACCGCACCAGACACCATAAGCACAAACCGCCACAACTTGGTTGGGGTCTTGCCGTCTCCTACCCACCCTGGACCTACAACAAGGCTCTAGGCTTCTAAGAGCTGTTCCTGCTTCATAGAGCAAAGCAGGAACAACTCTTAGAAGAGCTAGTGATTAGAACCAAGGGGACTATACAAAGTATAGCAATCCCCTGTGTGATTATAGCAGTTCCCTAAAACATGAGACGAGACTGCGAGTTGAGGGTAAGAAGGTCTGAGAGTTTAATGGCACAGATTGGATTTTTATACAGTTTTTCAGGCCAGAGGCACACCCACTGGACCTGATGGAGGACAGGGACACAAGGGGCATAAACCAATGAAAACAGTAATTAACAGTATGACACTCCCACATACAGTAAACAATCCCTCCCCTATGCCTGTGATATAGTTAAGGTAGTTAATGCATTAACTTAATTATCCATAGGCAGAAAAAAACACATTTTTATAAAGTCCCATAAGTACCCCAAAACATAACATATCCACCGCGGCTAAGTCCCCCTGAAGTCTATTTGCGGTTTTAGCCCATGTGAACAAGATGGCCACAACCGCGTGTTCGAATGTCAAATGGAGGCCATTTTGACTGTTTGGGAGTTCGAAAAAAAAACAATGTATAAAGTCACAATAGGCACCATTGGGGTCTCTCAGCCAAAATAAATTAAAGGGGCCATAGTCACAGGGTAAAAGGCTGGCAAGTAGTCCTCTCCAAAGCCCAGTGTTGAAGTGACTTTTGTCAGACACCTTTCCTTCCCGGGGGAGCCTAACCTGACTTTCTGTCGGTCGGTGCCTGAGTTAGTCAAGTAACCCACCCACGACAAACAATTGCTGGACCTGGTGGCCTCTGTAGCCCATCTCTGTCCTGTATGTCCCCAGCGATCAAGTGGGCATCTGGTACTCCTGGTCTCTCTTGCAATCCCAGGCATGGAGCTGTAGATACTTGGTGGGCAGAGGCCAACTGCGCTCTGCCCTGGTGCCAGCGCTTTTGGGCAAAAGAGCTGTTGTGGAGAGGAGGGATCGCCTACCTCCTCCTCCTGGCATTCCTGCGGTGTGGGTTGGGGATCTGTTGGGGATCTAAACCGGCTGTCCCGCATCCCGACTGGCTGTCCCGCATCCACCATCGGGGACAGGAGTGCCTCTGCTCAGTAGCTGGGGAGAGGGACCGGTTGTCTCCTTTCCCTATAAGGTAAGCTGCCTCTCCCTGTAACACACACTGAGCTGGAGAGTAAGACTGACTGTCTCCACTACCAATAACTTGTCCTGCTGCTGGGGAAAGAGACCGGTTGTCTCCTCTCCCTGGAAGGTGAGCTGCCACTGGGGAGTTGGCCAGACTGTCTCAACTCTCTGTAATGCTGTCTGGTGACTTAAAGGTAGGCAGACAATGTAATAGAGCAGCAGGAAATGCTAGCAGAATGCTTGGTTGTATAGGGAGAGGTATTAGCAGTAGAAAGAGGGAAGTGCTCATGCTATTGTACAGAACACAGGTGAGACCTCACTTGGAGTATTGTACACAGTACTGGAGAGCGTATCTTCAGAAGGATATTGATACCTTAGAGAGGGTTCAGAGAAGGGCTACTAAACTGGTTCATGGATTGCGGGATAAAACTTACCAGGAAAGGTTAAAGGATCTTAACATGTATAGCTTGGAGGAAAGACGAGACAGGGGGGATATGATAGAAACATTTAAATATATAAAGGGAATCAACACAGTAAAGGAAGAGACTATATTTAAAAGAAGAAAAACTACCACAACAAGAGGACATAGTCTTAAATTAGAGGGACAAAGGTTTAAAAATAATATCAGGAAGTATTACTTTACTGAGAGGGTAGTGGATGCATGGAATAGCCTTCCAGCTGAAGTGGTAGAGGTTAACACAGTAAAGGAGTTTAAGCATGCGTGGGATAGGCATAAGGCTATCCTAACTATAAGATAAGGCTAGGGACTAATGAAAGTATTTAGAAAATTGGGCAGACTAGATAGGCCGAATGGTTCTTATCTGCCGTCACATTCTATGTTTCTATGTTTCTATGGTGCTGAACCGCTTGCTGCTGCTGGGATGAGGGACCAACACTCTCTTCTCTCTGTATACTCCCCTGGGTTCTAATCACTAGCTCCTCTAAGAGCTGTTCCTTCTGCGCTCTCTGAAGGAAGAGAGGTTCACAAACTGGAGCCTGGAGCCTTGTCGTAGGTCCAGGGTGGGCAGGAGACAGCGAGACCCCAACCAAGCTGCGGCGGTTCGTGGGGTCTGCAATGCTTATGGTGTCTGCTGCGGTGCTGATGTTCCTTGGTGAGCACTAGCAGCATCAATTGAAGGAGTGTCCGTCACAATATACTACAGACAACTATTTATAGCCTGAAAATATGGGCAAAATTATAGCAAAAACTACTGTTGTTCCACCTATTGTACAGCGCTAAGGAATTTGCTGGCGTTACATAAATAATAAAATAATAACCAGTATCACGATATGGTCCAATAAGAACATTGGAAATGATCATCTCTAATTTAGCTCTTTCAGAATAGGAGTTAGCTGGGACTGACAAGATTTAAAAAAAATCTTTAATGAAGATGTGATATTGGCATTCTCTGAAATAAATGTAAAATATAACATCCTCCGTAAAGAGTTTTATAAATATTTAAGAATAAGACACTATCTAGTTACCCTAAATCGATCAAGGTGGTATTTAACTCCTGTCCATTCAGCGCATATATATTTTATTGTTCCAAACAAATATCGACGACAATGCGGAGAGATTGGAACGTTAAGTCATATATAGTGGTCATGCAAAAAAATAACTCAGATCTGGAGAATGTTATCCGATTTGATCGAATCTAAAACACACTTTCATATTCCTTTTTTAATGAAAGTAGCGATCTTGAACACTTTCCCAACCACAATATGTTTACATGAAAAAAAAATTTTTATTTTTTTTACATTGAAAGTTTTTATTGCCAAAAATTGGAAAAATGAAAAGATTCCAAGCATAAAAACTTTGATAGATATGTTACAACATATTCGTCAGATGGAATATATGGCACACCAAGCTAGCGACACTCTAATGGCATTCTGAAAAATCTGGGGGAAAGTTTTGGTAGGAGGAGAAGAGTTAATTAGGAGATGGCCGAAACTGGCATTCTAGTTGGTTAAAATTTGGGTAGACTAAGGAATAAGCTGCAGGCAAAAAGAGAAGGAGGTTGAAAG